AGGAAGCTTAAAGGGATCCTATGAATCCGGTACGAATCCCATGGGGGTCGTATACAAATCAAATGAACCCTGTAGGAATCGTATACGGATCAAATGATTTGTGCACGAATTCCATAATAATCCTATGGGAATCCTATACACATGCCAAAAGAATCCTATAGGATTCCTAAGAATCCGATAAGAATCCAATAGGAATCCTATACGAACCCTTCGGAATCCCATAGGAGTCATATGAATCCGATATGAACCCTTGGGATTCATATAGGAACCATGTAAGGATCCTATGAATCCTATTGGGGACCCCGTGGGGATTCGATAATCCTATGCGAATCCGACGCGAATCCTATGTGGATCCTATAGGAAGCCGATGGCTCCTATACGAATCCCAAAGGAATCCTATATGTCCTATATGAATCCTCTGGGAATCTTATAGGTACCCTGTAGGGATCCCATGAATCCGTGACGAATCCCATACGAACCGTATAGGAATTCTATAGGAATTCTATGAACCCTATAAAATTTCTTGGGAATCCAATGAATCCTGTACGAGTTCCATAAGAATCCCATAGGAACCCTATACGATTCCTAAAAGAATCCTATAGGAATCTGATGAATCCTGCATGAATCCTGTAGGAACCCTATGGGAAGCCTAAAGGAATACTATGAATCCTGCACGAACCCCAAAGGAATCCTATAGGCATCCCAAGAATCCTAAAAGGAATCCCATAGGAATCAAATAAATCCTATACGAATCCTTGGGAATCCTATAAAGAACCGATGAATCCTATATGAATCCTGTAGGATTCCGATAGGAACACTATAGGGATCCTATGAATCCTATACGATTCCTATGGGAATCGTGTGGGAATTCTATGAATCCTAAGCGAATCCCATAGGAATCCTATAGGATTCATATGAATCCTATACGAATCCTATAGGAATCCCATAGGTCCTACATGGATCCTGTATGAGTCCTGTAGGAACCCTATAGGGATTTACGGAATGCTATACGAATCGTATAGGAATCCGAAGGGAATTCTATGAATCCTATACAAATCCTATAGGGGTCCCATAGGAGTCCTATGAATCCTGAACGAATCCTCTAGGCATCCTATAGGAATCCTATACAAATCCGATGCGAATCCTATAAGGCCGGTGGATTGTGAGAAAGTCTCAGGCGGGAGCCCTCGGCGTTGTTGTTGTTGCTGTTGTTGTTGTTGGGGGTGGGGGCAGCCGGGGGCACGACGCCCGTCCCTATTCAACAACAACAACAACAACAGCAGCAGCAGCAACAACAACAACAACATCAACACCAACAACAGCAACAGCAGCAGCAACAACAACACCAATAACAACAACAACAGCAACAACAACAACAACAACAACAACAACATTAACAACAACAACAACAACAACAACAACAACAACAACAACAACAACAACAACACCAACAACAACAACAACAACAACAACAACACTAATTTTAAGACTGTTCGCCCTTATATGCTCGAGTGTCCAATAACGCGTATTTCCCAAGCCCTCGATACCCGCCGTCTTCGTCTTCGATCGAACCCCTTTTGGGGGGTATACCTTTCTTCCCTGCAGGCCGGGCCCCGGCAAGCGCCGGGGCGGCCGCGGACCGTCGGCCTGGCCAGCGGCAGCGCTGATCGGCGGGGCGGCCGCGGACCGTCGACCCGACCCCAAGAGGGACGGACAGGGGACCGACCACGACGACGACGACGACGACGACGTCGACGACGACGACGTCGAAGACGACGGCGACGACGACGACGGCGACGACGAGCGAAAGCGAGAGCGAGAGAGAACGACAGCAGGGCCACGAAGGGCACGAAGTAGGCCACGAAGGGCGACAGCGGGGACTCGAAGGGAATGCGTTTGGGACCACGAAGAGCGCGAACGAGCGGGGGCCACGAAGTGCAGATAATGCGGGGCCACAAAGGGCAACGACGGGGCCACTGAGGGTAGCAACTGGGCCACGTAGGAAAACGAGGGGGGCACAAATGGCGACAGCGGGGCCACGAATGGCATGCACATGGGGCCACATCGGGCGCGCCTCTTGGGTGCCTGGGTGTCGGGAGCGCGGCGCTTGGGCAAATGGCAGGAAATTCCAACGCAAGGCCATTCTTCAGTAACTTGCAAGCAAGTCTCAAGCGAGAGCGCGACTCCAGAGCGCTGGGAAAGCGATTCTTTAATAAATTGTAAGGAAGTCCCAAGCGAGAGCGCGATTCCTGAATAAAATGCGAGGAAGTCTCGGGCGGGAGGGCACGAAGTAGGCCACGAAGGGCGACAGCGGGGACACGAAGGGAATGCGTATGGGGCCACGAAGAGCGCGAACGAGCGGGGGCCACGAAGTGCAGATAATGCGGGGCCACAGAGGGCAACGACGGGGCCACTGAGGGTAGCAACTGGGCCACGTAGGACGGTGAGGGGGGCACAAATGGCGACAGCGGGGCCACGAATGGCATGCACATGGGGCCACAACGGGCGCGACTCCTGGGTGCCTGGGTGTCGGGAGCGCGGCGCTTGGGCAAATTGCAGGAAATTCCAACGCAAGGCCATTCTTCAGTAAATTGTCTCCAGCGAAAGCGCGACTCCAGAGCGCTGGAAGAGCGATTCCTGAATAAATTGTAAGGAAGTCCCAAGCGAGAGCGCGATTCCTGAATAAAATGCGAGGAAGTCTCGGGCGGGAGCGGGGGTCCTGGCTAAATTGCAAGGCAGTCTCAGGCGGGAGCCGTTGTTGTTGTAACCCGCGGGCCAGGGGCCCAGTTTGAGCAGGAAGACTTTCCCTGTCAAAAAAAACAGGGCGCGAGCGTCGAGGGGCACACTTTGATCGAGAAAAAACAATATGCACCGGTGGGGGGGGGATCAACAATAATTATTCTCCAGAAGTGAGAACTCAACAACAACATCAACAACAAGAACAACACTACTACTACGAACAACGACAACAATCATGTTAAGACTGTTCACTCTTATCTGCTCGCGTGTCATTCAATATGCATATCCTAAACCCTGGATGCCCGCCCTTTTCGTCTTCGATCGCACACCCTTTTGGGGGGTATATTCATTCCCTGCCGCGCGAGGTTCGTGAAGCCGTGGAAAATGAAGGGTAACAGATAACGGGGGATAATGAGGACGAAGGGATCGGAGAAAGGGAGGGGGGGGGCAAAAAGGAGGGAGGACGATGTGCGCTGCGAGTGGCGATTTAACAATAAGTTTCGCCATTGGTCGCGCCATAAACAGCGCCGCGTACCACCCCCTTGGAAGAACATATCGTGGATACCCCCACGGGGGGACCTACAGCTGCGAACTGGTGCCAGAAACAAATTTCGTGGATCCGTGAAAAGAAGCGGGATTTTGGGAGAGTGGGGCGGAAGGATAATGAGAACTGCAACCGTGTCGAGAGGAGCGCGGAAGCCCCAAGAGAGCGCGATTCTTCAATGAATTGCAAGGAAGTGCCAAGCGGGAGCCGCGATCCGGTGGTAAATTGCAAGGACGTCCCAAGCGAGAGCGCGATTCTTCAATACATTGTGAGGAAGTATCAGGCGGGAGCCGTTGTTGTTGTAAACCGGGGGCCAACGACGCAGTTTGACCTTCAAGACTTTCCCTCAGATAAACAACAGGGTGCGAGCCCTGGGGAGGGCACTTCAATCAAAAAAAACAATGTGCACCAGACGGGGGGGATCAACAATAATTATTCAGAAATGAGAGTTCAACAACAGCAACAACAGTAACAACAACAACAACAACAGCAGCAACAGCAATGACAACAATAGCAACACTAACAGCAATAACAACAACGAAAACGCAACAAGCATAATCCTCACCACGGATTCTCACTTCACCCACGCACCCAGGGATAGGTCGCGGGGTGGGTGACGGGGTGGTCGCTAGGTGGGTCGCGGGTGGGACGACGACAACAAACAACACCAAGAACAACAAGAACAACAATAACAACGATAACAACAATAATAACAACAACAATAATAACCACAACGAATTCCCCATTCAGCCACGCACCAAGGGACAATGAAAATGACCGTTCGGCCCCCTCACTCTGATGTTCATGGCTTTGTTTCTTCTTCGAGCGATGACAGTCTTTAGGGTTCTCCTTCGGAGACTGAGGGATCACCCCATGTTATCCCTCAAAATCGGCCTCGAGATCGGGCGATGCCAATCCTGCACAGCCTCGTCGAAAACAGATGGAGGCGCCGTTCCAAATCGAGGCGCCCGAGAATTCGGGCAATTGTCAGAAAACGCGTTCTTCCACGCTGCGAGGGCAGCGACGGATTTGGGACACCCCTGCGTATGGGCCAGACACTTCGTGCCAGCACTGAAGCACAGCGCCGATCACACAAAAACGCCGAAAACAAGCACCGTCCATTCACTTCTGACGAGCCTCGCAGGCCCTGAGATCCGACGTCTCCAAAAAATCGAGACCCCGTGAAAAATCGAGCCTGTAGCCCTATAGACCCCATCTTTCTGCGCCATTTTTCGAGCCGGATCGATCTGTGAGGGTCCCAGGGCCCGAAGCTGTGCGAGAACGCCCGGCCCGAAGAAATGGAGTCGCCAAGATCTCAGGGGGGATCGGGATTGGGGAAACCAAAAGGCACCGATACCGCTACTCCCCGGACCTCTCCCGGTGTGCGTTCTGACCAGGATGTCGAGGCGAATCCAGCGGTGGCGATGAGGGCCGCCCAGGAGGCCCCACCAAGGGAAGAACGAGGAGAGGGTAGAGGTATGGGTACCTTTTCCTCCTCTGAGGGATGTGCTCGGAAGCCTCGACCCTTTCCCCAGGACCGGTTTTCCATCCTGAATCGTTTTTCGAGGGCCCCAGGAGGCCGAAAACTGCGGAAAACCTCCGTCTCGATTTTCTGCAATGCGTTGGATCTCGAAGGGGGGATCTCGGGACGTGCTCCAGACCGGCAGGCCTCCGACGCCGCGAGCCGCGCGATGATGTCGCGGCACGCGGCCTGCACGTCGCGGCACGCCTCCCGCGCGGCGCCCCCCCGCGGGGCCCCCGCGGCCGCCGCGCCGCGCTCCGCGGGGGGCGCGGGGCGGCCGGGGGCCTCCGCCGCGGGCGCGGCGCGGGCGGCCTCGAGCTCGAGCAGGCGCCGCTCGAGCGCGTCCGTGGCCCGCACGAGGCCCAGCGCGTCCTGCGGGGGGGTCGACGGGCGGGCCCGTCCCCCTGCGGGCGGATCTCGGGCGGGAGGACTGGACTCAAAATGGCACAAAACATACACCACAAATAACTACCTGAGAATACTCCAAACATCGTCCCCGGACGGTGTTGTCACGATTTTGGCAAGATTCCTCCTGCAGAGGGACGTGCCCGACTAAGCCTTAGGGTCATTGCGCCGGCCTTTCCATGGCGTGGTGCAGCGGACTTTTCTGCGTGGACTTCTGCGTGGATTTTTGTTGCCCGAAGCGGCGAGCGAAAGACGGAGTTAATTTCACGTGTGTTTTTGTTGTCTTCCTTCCTGGCCAAAAAAGACCCGCACGAAATTCACAGCGAAATCCGGAACGAAATTCTCCGGGACAGTCCAGGCCCATCTTGTCGTTTTCCGAACGACATCCGCTCTGCGATGTGCGCGCCACGATTAGGGGAACAAGAAACAACAACAAAAACAGAAGCGTAAACTTCTGGAGGTCCGCGCGGATTGCTTGGATCCGCGCGCCTCCCCGGCGCGCGGAGCGCGCCCGGGGCGGCGCCGGAGGCGCCGCCAGGGGGGGCCCAGCGTCGATCCAAGACATCCGCGCGGAGCGCTCGAGGTGTCTGTTTTTGCCGTCTTGTACTTATACCCGAGTCCTGGAGGGAGGCCACCCTCTCCGTGAGGGCCTCCAGCGGCCCGCTCGGACCTCCCCAGCCCTCCACCTTCGCTGCGACGCCCTGCAGCGTCCTCTCCACGCGGGCGATGGCGTCCAGGAACGTTTCTGTGAGGGCCTCTATCTGCTGGGCCTGGTCGGCGACGGTGGCCTCGAGCTCAAGCATCTGGCGCTGGCAGCCCTGACCGCCTCCGTTCAGGGCGCAGCTCGCGAGCTCCTCCGCGCGCTCTGCGCAGCGGTCGAGGGACTCCCCCAGCTCCGAGGCCTGCGGCAGGGGGCCCGGCCCGACTTCCGGAGACGCCTTCAGCTCCGAGAGCTTGTGCTGCTCTGCCCACGCCCTCTCCGCGAAGTGCGGCCCCAGCTGCGGGTGGCCGAGGCCCAGGCGGTCGGGGCCGTCGCCCAGCGACGCCCTCAGAGCAGCTCTCGCCGAAGCCCGCCCCTCGTCCTGCGGCCCCTCCCGCAGGCGCTCCAGGCCGTCCTCCAGGGACGACCTCAGCTCCGAGAGCTGCTGCTCCGCCCACGTCCTCTCCGCGCACTGCCCTTCCTGCAAAAGGCCCAAGCCGTCGTCCAGGTGCGCCCTCAGCTCCAAAAGCTGCCTCTCAACCCACCCCTTCTCCGCGTACTGCGGTCCCTCCTGCAAGCGGCCCAGGCCGTTATCCAGCCGGCCCACCTGTGCGGAAGTGTCCCGCGGACATCGCGTCAGCTGCTCTCCAAAGCCGTCCAGCGCGGCCACGCGCTGCTGGAGGAGCTGCTGCCGGCAATCCGCCTCCAGGTCAGCCTCCTCGTGCCTTAAACGTTCCACGCGCGCCCTCTCCAAGCGCTCCGTCACCTCCGCCAAGCGGCCGTCCTGCGCCTCCACTCGCTCCCGCAGCGAAGCCAGCCGCGCCTCAGCGTCGTCCAGACGCCGGCCCAGCTCATGGCCTCCCAGCTCGTGCCTGGAGGCTGGCGGCAAGCTCGCGCCCCTGCCCGCAGGGCCCGTGCTGCTCAGCTCTGCCATCCCCTCCTCCAGCCGCGCGGCGAGGTGGCCGAGCTCCGCCTTCAGGCGCGCCTCCATCTCGCCGCGGAGGCCGAGCAGCGCCTCTCCCGAGCGGCGGCGCACGGACTCGAGGGCGAGCCGCAGGCGCTGCTGCTCCACCTCCGCGCCGGCGCGGCCCTCCTCGGCCCGGCGCTCGAGGCTCGCCACGGCACTCTCGAGCTGCGCGTACCACGGCGGGGCCGACTCGCGCGAGTTCTCCGCGCTTTGGAGCCTCTCCGCGTGGACCTGCAGCGTGGCGGCGGACTCCTCGAGGGAGCGCCCGTGACAGCCGATCGCGTGCTCCGCCCGGCCCACGCGAAGCAGCCCGCCCTGGAGCCTCTCTTCCAGCTCGCGGAGCTGGCGCTCCCAGCCCTCCTGCGCCGCCCGGCGCTCCCCCGAGATCCGACGTTGCAACAAGTTGCAGCATCGCCCGGCAAAAATCACGCCCAGACCTCCAGACCCCATCTTTCTGCGGCATTCTTTGAGCCGCATCGACCTGTGAGGGCCCTGTGACCCGAATGCCGAGCGACAACGACCGTGGTGAAACGTGGGCGGGCGGCACTGGGGGGGGACCACCCACAAGAGCGGTGGAGAAAAGTGCCCTCGGCCCCTCTGGGGCCCCTGCTGGGCCCACAAGGGGGGCCCCCTTGAGGGCCCTGTTCTTCACCCCCCATTGTGGTCCCCCCCCGCTACCACCCGCCCAAGAAACAATGGCAGCGCCAGGATCTCAGGGGGTCACAGCCCGCCAGGCGCGCCTCGAGGCCCCGGACGCGGGCGTCCACCTCGGCAGCCACCACGTCCAGCCCCCGCAGCACTACCGCGCCGCCCGCGCCGCAGGCTGGGCGGCCTGCAACGGCTGGGCGTCGCCGCCGCCGCCGCCGCCGCCACCGCCGTCGTCGTCGTCGCCGCCGCCGTCCTCGTCGTCGTCGACGTCGCCGTCGTCGTCGTCGTCGTCGTCGTCGTCGTCGTCGTCGTCCTCGTCGTCGTCGTCGTCGTCCTCATCGTCGTCGTCGTCGTCGTCGTCGCCGTCGCCGTCCTCGTCGTCGTCGTCGCCGCCGCTCCGGCCGCGCCCTCGTGCCCCTCCGGCCGCGGCGGCGCTGCGCCGCTTGCGGCAGCGGGCGCGCGCCGTGGGGCCGCGCCCTCGCGCGGCTCGGCGGGCCGCGCCTCGGCCTGCGCGGGCGCCGCGGCCTGCGGCGGGCCGCTGCTGCGCCGCGGCTCGGCCTGGCCGGCGAGGAGGCGCCGCTGCTGGCCGAGCAGCCGCTCGGCGCGCTCCAGCGGGTCGGCGGCCTGGTGGGCCCCACCGCGCGGCTTGTGGGGCGACGAGACATCCCGCAGATCCAACGTCTTGAAAAATCCAGGCCAGAGGTTTGTCGCAACTGTCGGCTTCAGTGGGGGCCCTCGCCAGGCCCCTGGGGCCGTCAGAAAACACTTCGGGGGGAAAACTGGTCCTGGGGAAGCGGTCGAGATTTCTGGGGGCTCCGCATTGCAAAAACACGGCATCGGATCTCTGTGCCCGTATACGGCGACGAGCTCTCTCTGTGCACACCCACCGCCCCAGGCCTGGCCCATCCTGGGCCCATGGAGTGGTGCATGCGCCCTCCTGCCTTGGCCAGGGAGGCATACACACACTGCTCTTGGGCCCAGGATGGGCCCGGCCTGGGGCGGTGGGTGAGGAGGAGGAGGAGGAGGAGGAGGAGGAGGAGGAGGAGGAGGAGGAGGAGGAGGAGCTCGAGGAGGAGGAGCTCGAGGAGGAGGACGAGGAGGAGGAGGAGGAGGAGGAGGAGGAGGAGGAGGAGAGGGAGGAGGAGGAGGAGGAGGAGTTCGAGGAGGAGGGGGAGGACTGGCCTGGGGCATCGGCGGCGGGCGGCGAGGAGCCCCTGCTGGCGGAGCAGCCGCTCGGCCCTCTCCGGCGGGTCGGCGGCCTCGCCGCCGCCGGGCCCGCGGGCGGGGGCCCACCCCGCGGCCTGGGGCATCGGAGGCGGCCGCCAGGCTAGCCGCGCCGCTCCTCGGCGTCTTGGGCCGCAGGGGGGACGAGGAGGCCGAGCGGCCTCGAGAGAGCTCCACGCACGGTCGTCGACGAGGCCCTGCAGTGTGTAGGAGGTCAGCTGCGAGGCGCGCAGCTCGGGCGAAAGCCGCCGCCTCGGAATCGCACCTATCCCCCTGACCCTCTCCGGCAGGGGGGGGATTTCTGGAACCCGCATATGGGCAAGTGGGCGCCCAACCCTGGGGAGATGTCCGCAAACTTTGTTTCTCTTGGCGCCCAGGTGCATAAGCCCGTGGTGGGCCTTTCGGAGTCAGCATGCTGAGCACGTGCATCAGCAGCCAGTGGCCGCCCATTGGTTGGTGCGGCAAGAGGGAGCTGCCCTGTGCCAGACTTGGAGAATTCCCGTGCCCACCGCAGTGCGGGGCCTGGGGGATCAGGCTGTCCGATGCCGCAGAGGGGGGAAACGGGGGCACAGGCGGGGATGAGAGGCGGGGGTGTGAGTCGAACGAGGGGGAGGGGCGGGGGCAAGAAAGGGAGAGGGAGCCAGGGAACGCCACCCATGCACCGACACCAGCCCTGACCAGGCCACGTCTGAGCCCAAGATTCGAATAATTACTCTGGCTTCGCCGCGCAGGTGCACTTCCTCGAGGGGCGAGGAGGAAGGAATGGGGTGGGAGTTTGGAGTTTGGAAACGTCAGCTGTGAACCGACGCACCCACGACCTGCCCTGCGACTCCCCCGCGCCCCGCCAAGCGACCAGCACGCGACTCACCCGCGATCCGTCCCGCGATCCACCCGCGCGCCACCCACGACCGACCTGCGACCCGCTGCGCGACTCGCCCGCCAACCCGCTGGAGATCCATCCACGATTCGCCCGTAGTATGTAGTATGTTGGCCAAGGCTGGCGCCTGCCGAGGGCCCGATGTGCCATGTATAAGATGCTTGCCAGCGTGAGCACCAAGCAGTCAGGTGTTGCACCCTGGGTGTGTCAGCTGTGCGGCACGCGCAATAAGCTATGCGCGCTGCAGGCAATGCTGTGCAAATTGCGTGTTGTACGCGTTGCGTGGTGCAAGCAACAGTGTGCCAGCCATGTGTGGTCAAAGCTGTGTGGTGTGTACACTCGGCGGCGAAAGCTCTGTGACGCAAGCTGTGAGGTGTCAGGAACGTGGTGTAAGCCATGCAGCACAAGCAGCCCAAACATCCAGCTGCTCCAATTTTTTTGGTGCGTGGACCCTGGAAGTCCAAACCACTTCTCCAGGGCCGGTCTTTCGCCCCGAATCGTTTTTTGACGCTCCCGAGGCCCAACGAGGGCCCGCACAGGCCGAAAACGGCTAAAAATCGCCTGCTGATTTTTTTTCGGGAGCGTCGGATCTCAGGGAGTAGAAGTGCGAAGCAGCGCGACGAAACCCGCGAGGCGCCCACGACGACCCAGCAAAAGCGACGCCTCGACGCACTCGGCCAGCGCGACGCGGCGCCCCCGCGAGGCGCCCACATGGCCGCCCAGCAGGCGAAAGCAAAACCTCGACGCGCTCGGCCGACGAGGCGCCTGCGACGATGGGCCCGTTTACCACCACCACCATGAGTTGGAGGGGGAGGGGGTCCTCCTCTTCGTCCTCCTCCTCCTCCTCCTCCTCTTCCTCCTCCTCCTCCTCCCCCTCCACCTCCCTCCCCCCTCCAACTCTTGGTGGCGGTGGTGGTGGAAAACAGGCCCATCGTGCGAGGCGTCCACGGCCGCCCGCCAGGCAGTGTGTGGAGCACGTCGGCGGCCGGCGGCGGGCGGCCTCGCGGGTGCTGTCGAGCCTGGCGGGCTGCCGACGGGCCTCACGCCCGCTCGCTCTGGTCCGCAACTGCGGGGGCTTCGGCGCACACGCGCACAGAAAATACGGGCATCGGCATCACCGATGCAAGTACCGCCTGGAGCACGTGCCGACGAC